TTTCCAGTTCACAACATTTCTGCTTGTACCTTTTTTTTTCTTTTTTTGTATTTGCTATTTTTTCTCTGAGTCGTATAAGAGCATCGAACATTAAACGGTATTTCTAATGGTAAAATAATGGCTGGTTGTGGGGTTTACGATGGATTTAGAAATTGGTTTTGTCGCGATGCGGAGCTCTAAAACTGTCTTTTTTGTTAAACATTTATAGACATACACAATTGATCGATTATTTGGTATGTCTTTGTAAAAGGAATTTTTTAGTGGCTCGAAAGACCAGGATCGGACATTTGCAACTTGGCACTAATGCATCACATTATTTGGAACATATGTAATCTTTTTTGAGATACTATGACGGCGGTCCATAAAAGACGTCAACAAACGAAAGCAACTTTTTCGCTTTCTTTCCAATTTTTGGTGTGGTTTTTGCTTTGCTGTGTTTCGTTTTTGTTTTGAGTTGATATGCATTTTAACTACCTTATTGCAAGAAATTTGGGGGGGTTCTAATTTTTACGCTTTTTGCGATTTTTCCAGCGATCCGCAAAAGTAAGTTCCCAAAAATTAAAATTACCGCAAACATTTTTCCCTCAAAAATTTACTCCACAGTAAATATTCTCTAACTAAATTCGCTGCACAAGAATACAGTACTAAGAAATCGTGTCTGTTCATTTACAACTTGTCTCTTTCGTTCAGAAACAAAACGCACACCGTAGTGTTGTTTGAAAATATGTATTTCTATTGCACGTACTCAATAAATACTTAAGTATTGTCAATGCTGGGGAATGGGTACAGTAGTTATGATTAAGCATTTTACACCCGTTTGGTGCCTAGTCATTGCCTAGCAAGTGCCTAGTCATTGCCTAATCCTGCATACTAATTTAAAAGTGCCTAGTCACTGCCTCCTGCATATTAATTATGTGCGTAGTCAGTGTTTAGCTAGCAAGGTAAAAATGAGTTCCCCCATACGAATAAGTGCCTTCCTCCATGTGTAATGAGCGTCTCTCTTATTCAATAGGAACAATAGCTAGGCTTGCCAGTTAAGTAACTAGATCCCGGTTTTCGGACCGTCTATTGAAAAAAAACAACAACAAATTCGAATAAGAGAAGCGATCAATTAGCAACGCGAGAAACGGCTTATGTCTTCATATTTAGCATTAAAACTCGGATATTTATACAAGACAAACACACATACACAAAATGGAGCCGAAAACTCTCTATTTCAATTTTGTCTGACTATTACAAAAGCGTTTTCTCCTGTCTATCTCGAGGAACACACAAAACAACAATAACTTAACAAGGGTCAGTTGAAACAAGCGACTAATAACACGTTTCTTCTTAAGACACCAAGAAATCAACTTTATGACCCTTTATAAAAATAATTCCAAAAAGATTAGATTAAAGATTCTATTAGTCAACGAAGGCAAGGGTTTTTTTATTTTTTTTATTTTTTTTTATACTGTGTACAATGTTTTACTTAACAGTTTCTCTTTTCATTGTTATTTTCCTCCTCCTCCACAATTTTATTGATTTCCCCCCACAATTTTTTATTCCCTCCTCCACACTTTTAATATTTTCCCTCCTCCTCAATTATTTTGAATTATTTTAAATATTTCCCCAATTCTGATTAGCTAAAAGCACACGCATAATTCACCATAACCAGTTACTGATGGCCAATTTTGAAAGAATTTTGTGTTTAACGAGGAAATGACGTCAAGGTACCCTTACCGAAAAAACCTGGGGACGAGGTTGAGTTTTTTTGGTTGTGAAAAAAAAAAAATGGCGGACATTTCACTCGTTTCAAGAGTAAGAACTACCGCTGGGATTAGGCGAAATAATAGCTAAAAACACGGCAAAAACAGCAAGAAGACAACTCGGAGGGCGACATCTGCTATTTGGAGAATATTTGCGGAGCTGGACAAACCTAAACGTGCACTATCGAAGATGAACTTAACGTCGATGCAGGTAAGCATGATTTAGCTATGTTTTTAAACTAGGGATTATTCGGAGGGCGTTATCCACCGAGGCCGAAACCTCCTCGATCTGCTTAATTCTTCATATCCTACTCAGCCTCATTCATTAATTTCTAACTAATAGAATCTCTAATCTAATCTTTTTGCAATTATTTGCAATTATTTTAATAAAGGGATATAAAGTTGATTTCTTGTGTCTTAAGAAACGTGTCTGGTTTTATTGTGAGAATCAATTTATTAGACGCGTGTTTCAATTGATCCTAACTTCAGTAACAAGGATCAATTAAAACACGCGACTAATAAATTGATAAATGATTTTTTTCTTTGTTTTTATAATAATACGTCAAGGTTCTCCCTTGGGGTCATACTGTATAGGCTTGCTAACTCGCATAATTAACTGACTAACAGCGCATGGAGACTTCAGTGGGTTTTCATTTCTTCGAGATAGATAGGAGAAAACGGTTTTGTAATAGTCAGACAAAATTGAAATAGAGATTTTCCTGCTCCATTTTGTGTATGTGTGTGTGGTTAGTTTAAATGTCCAAGTTTTAGCGCTAAGCAAGAAGACATAAGCCGTTTCTCGCGTTGCTAGGTGACCGCTTTTCTTATCCATATTTTTTTCAATAGACGGTCGGAACCGGGTTCTAGTTACTTAACGGGCAAGCCTATCGTTCCTATTGAACAAGACAGACCCTCATTACATGTAGAGGAAGGCACTTATTAGTATGGAGGAACGCATTTTTACCTAGCTAGCTAGCTAGACACTGATGACTAGGCACATAATTAATATCCAGGAAGGTAGGGACTAGGCACTTAATTAGTATACAGCATTAGGCAATGACTAGGCACTTGCTAGGCACTGACTAGGCACCAAACAGGCGTAAAATGTTGAAGCATAACTGCTGGGTACTTTCTGAAAATCGCGAAAATTAATTCCCGGCAAGAAAAACAACTGACTGTCTTAATCTCAAAAATTAGTTCCCGCAAAAAACAAAAAATCGCCAATCCGCAAAATAAACTCCCGCAAAAATATCGTGCCACACAGAAGCTAGAAAAGCGAGATGATTTCCCTTCATGTTGTCGCCGTCGTAGTTGTATATTTGTTTAATAGAAGCTCCTGGTGGTTATTTTGCCGTTTTTTGGTTAGGTCTTGTCACAGGTGCCTCATATCAAGAGAAATTTAATTGGGAATGCACTCTAAGCAAGAAAGAAAAAAGAAAAAAGAAAAAAGAAACCGATCAATGAACCAAAGAAAACACAAACAAGATGTAAAAAAAAGCTTCATTTATTTTTAATCCTGTAACTTTAAAAAAGGCCTCATTTATTTAAGTCAATTTCAGAATAATTTTTGAAATGCAACAGAATCCAGGATCTTGCGATATTTTTATAGCTTATGGCGCATATTATTTACCTGGCAGAGGTTTACCGTCAGCCGTCAAACGGCCTAAACATTAACCGTCGACCAACAAAAATGAAGGCCACTGTCAAAAAGTGTCAAAGAATTTCGGATATTACTATTTCAGCTGATCTTCACGGAATTCCAGCTCCTAAATAATTTCTAAACTAGAAAAAAAACCGTTCTCATGCCCCAAAACACTCTTTCTAGACAATACAATAACACAACCTGCTTATAAATGAAAATATTTCGAAATTTTATAGGTGAAAGGCCAAGACAACATCCAAAACACATCAGTTAATATTAATTCATACAGAAGTTGCCGTCAGCCGTCAAAATTGGAAAAAAATAACCGTCAACCGTCAAAGCTACCACCCCGGTCAGTGACCCCTGGGCGGGTCAATGACCGCAGGATTAAGGAATCGATTATTTTCAGGTTTTGCTCTTCTATCATGATAAATTAAGCATAAGTCCTATCTTATTTCCACACAAATTCACTTTTGTATGTTTTCAGGGACTTCTTTAGTAAGTGCAAGTAATTATTTAAAAGAATCTTTGAAATAAAAGTACACGTGCATGTGAGTAAAAAGTATTTTCAATGAAATGTTTGATTGTAAGACTAGAAAAAAACGCGCTTGTTCCATAGCCAACGTTTATAGTTTAGAGATAATTTCCTCTTTCATTCTTTACGCTACTCCAAACATCTAAACAAGGTTGAAGCTTATTTGCATAGTTTACCATAAATGAATCGCAGAAAACTGATTTAAAACTTTACAAGTACTGTTTGTTTTTCGACTCTCATTATTTTTAAGTTTGCTCAATTTCACTTGCTTTGATGGTTCTTTCATTTTGCTGGGTTTTAACGATCAAAGTTTTGCCTTAACTTAGAGTTATGTACGTGCTAGTATTATTTTTTTTGCGGGGTGTGGGTAAAGAGAACAAAAGTTTCGAGCAATTCTGGTTTTCTAATAATACGTGTCGTCTTGACTCAAAATTTTTTTGCATTGAGCTAATTATAATCACAACCATCCAACTGTTCGTTAAACAATTTTAATACCTCTTGTCGACTTTTAATCTAAACTATGAAATTCAAATTATTGTATCACTGAATGGCGGTTTTAGTGAAAGAGGGATTATCGTTTTTATCGTTTAAGAGTAAGGCTACGTGATATGATTTTAGTGTTTGACTAAAAAATTTAAAGATTAAAAACTGCTTAGCGCTAATGCTTGCATTTTGAGTTTTAAAACAATTATAAGTCAGACTAACTCATCGTCCAGAATGCCGTGACATATCCTGGAATTTTTTCGTGTACGGCGGTAAAATTGAAATTCGTAGAAAGTGTGTTTGACGACAGAGAAAATGGCGAAAACGCAGCCACCTTCGAGTAACTTTTTCTGTTTACGGGCTCATAAATTCCACCAGCTACCAGCCAGCAGGTGCATTTTGTAGAAGAGGAATCAATTAATTAATTCGAGGAAAAATGTATTTGTTATGTTTTCTACAAGTATTATCAAATTCGCTTTGACATTTGGTTATTTTAGATACTACGCAGTATGCAAGTTGTTCTTAGAATTCATCGGTTTGTAAAGTTTGTGTTTTAACAACTGAAATAATTTTCTGTACTTTAGTTCCGGACATGGACGCAAGAATAGTGTTGCGGATCTCCGTTCTGGTTCTCCTGCTCTACAGCGCAGTAACTCAAAAGTGTCCGGCAGGTGGAAGATCAGAGAGTTCCATCGTGGGCTGGATGTTACGGGGACACGTGTATGACACTCTTTTCGCGGAACTTCCGTTTACGTGCGCATTCAAGTGTCGCGAAGACAATCGATGCCAAAGTTTTAACTGGATTATCTCTGTTCTTATGTGTGAGTTTAACAACCGGACAAAGGAAGCCAGGCCTGAGGACTTCATTCCAAACCAAGACAGATCTTACTATCGACGCGGTTTACAACGAGGTGAGCCATCATTAAGTGCCGTGGATACTATTAAGTTGGCCGGTTACAGGGAGGCTCCCCCCGAAGGGGTACCTTTGTCAGGCATCATATATATGAAAGAGGTAAAAAAATTTCACTGCCTGAAGTATATGAAAGGCTACGAAAGTTAGTCATCTCTGCAGGCCTATAAAATGACCTAAAAGAGCTAACAGATGCATTTTCTGATGGATGTGAAAAAGCCGACGGGAAATGTTTAAACGACAGAGCATTTACGGCAGTTAAGAGGGATGCAAAATTACCGTAAAATCCCACGTTATGCTACCCAGAGGACTGTTTCTTGAAGTTTTTTGACTTTTGTCCTGTTCCGTTCCAGTTGTTCAAGTGTTTTATAGATGTTTGTGAAATACATTCTCCATTTATTGCGATAAATTTATAATGGAATGTTTGCTTTAATTCGGTTCAGACATGTTTTATTCCGTCGTTCCGAACATTATTTTTCGCTTATACCAACCCCCCCGCCTACACTCGTTTATAAGCCCACCCAAAACCCTTTATGAAGGGATTTTACGGTAGTTCTGAACTACGTATGTTCAATAGGAAACATTCGTGAATCAAAGGTATCCGAAAGGGGTACCTTTCTGGTCAAAAACGTTGTATAAAAAAGTAAGGCGTTGGACCTCGGCGCGGAACCTCCCTGTATAAAACTTTGTTGAGTAGCGCCCCGTGCATAAAGTAAAACCATGCAGCGGTAAAGTCACACTGGTAATGAAGAATTGTTTTTTTAACCTTTCAGTTCCCCTTGGTTCGATTCAAGAACTACCAGCTGAGACTTGTGACGAAATAAAGAGGAGTGAAGGGCACGCTGTCAGCGGGAAATACTGGTTTTCCACTATAAAATCTGGTACATCTGTTCTGGCTTATTGTAATATGGAGACCAACGGTGAGTTTAGTCAGTTATATAATCGGCGACTGCCGTTCAGCTGATTGTGCCCTCTGATGATTTAATTTATTATTATTAGACGACTGACGTAAGTGTTTCATATTTAGTCGCAGATGCGGCGACTGATGAAAAATTAACCGGTAGATTTAAACTGATAAGACAGGGAGAAAAAAAGAGACATTTTAAGCGGGAAAAGACTCATGTTACGAAAGAATGAGTACTCCTCGCGTCACATGTTAGGGCCTGAGTAAATGCCCTTCAATAATTTTTTCACCAATCAATATGTTTGTTCTAGACATTGACGAATGCGGTGCTTCTTCTCCTGTATGTGACATCAATGCCAACTGCTCCAATACTCGTGGATCGTATATCTGTACCTGCAGGGCAGGATATACAGGCGATGGAAAAACTTGCCAAGGTAGGATAAAAGCCGATTTTCTGTGATAACAACGAAGATGGCAGATTCCCAGGGACTTGTGACGACCAGTAAATTTCGGCAATCAGTCAAATCCAGTCCGTTTAATTACGGGCAGTGCATGACATCATGCCTCGGGTCATACTTTTGTTATTAGAAACTTTTTGGATAAATGTAAGTGTATAAAAATTCTTTAAAACGCTCCTCAAGAATTAAAACGTTTGAAGTCCGTTATTTAACCGGGAAAAGTAATGCTGTAATTACTTAGTAGCCCACCTAGCCCAGCAGAGAAGGAAAAACAAATTTATGAAACGACAGCCATGTTACGAGGGAATGCGCACTCCTTGCGTCACATGTTAGGGCCTGAGTTAATGCCCTTCAATGATTTTTTCACCAATCAATATGTTTGTTGTTCTAGATATTGACGAATGCAGTGCTTCTTCTCCTGTATGTGACATCAATGCCAACTGCTCCAATACTCGTGGATCGTATATCTGTACCTGTAGGGCGGGATATACAGGCGATGGAAAAACGTGCCAAGGTAAGATAAAGGTCGATTTTCTGTGATAACAACGAAGATGGCAGATTCCCAGGGACTTGTGTGACGACCAGTAAAAATCGGTAATCCATCGAATCCAGTCCGTTTATATACGGGCAGTTCATGACATCATGCCTCGGGTTATACTTCGGTTATGAAATTCTTTTGGATAGCCTGAGAAAACAGCCGATATTTGACGACGCTACCACTGGTTTCCCCGCCAAATGACGTGTGAGGAACGAGCGCAGGTATTCGATACTGATCACGCGTTCCTGCCCAGATCTGGGTAGTACTTCTGATTGGTTGTGCAGCGTGGGAAATTTGATTCAACCAGTCAGAAGCACTCCCCGGATCTCATGGGTAGAGACGCGTCATATGTATGGAATTTGTGCGATCGTTTCTCAGACTTCATTTGGCGGGGGAAACCGGTGGTAGCGTCTCCAAATGTAGTTTGTTTTCTCAGGCTACTTTTTGGGTAAATGTAAGTGTAAACAAATTTTTAAAAAGGCCGCGCAAGAATTAAAACATTTGAATTCCTTTATTTAACCGCAAAAAAGTAATGCTGTAAATTACTTAGTAGCCCGCGTAGCCCAGCAGAAAAAAAAAAAAATATGAAGAAGCACCAACCGGGAGATTTAAACTGAGAATAAGACACGGAGAAAAAAAGACAAATTTTACAGTCAAACCAAGTCAAGCGTTCCCGTCGCTAACGAACTAATGAATTCATTCACGGAAAAATGATTTCGTTTGTTGATTCAATAATCCATTCATAAAATGAACAATCCAATAGTCATATTTAGCCTCGATTCCATAATCGAATGTTGATTCGATTACTGTTTTTTGGAAAAATTACACTTTCCACAAGTTGAACTCAGAATTTTGTTTTTTCTGAGAGTCGAGTGCTGGCGAGTTCTGAAGTTCAAACCCAAACAAACTGTTACATTTACGCCAGTTTTCTGCCATTAATCAGTGCAACAGATCTAGGCCTGACCTCTTAGAAACACGACGGTCAAACTGAGGTCAGTGTATGTGCGGTGATTGGTGGATTTCGATCCTCGGCCTTTGTCAGTTTCTTTGCGTTTGCGGTCTGTCTATTCTAGCTGTTATTTTGATTAAAGGCAATGAAAAACGCAATCGTAAACGGCAGGAAAAGGGAAGCAAATACGACTGAACACAACAGACAAGAATAAAGAACAGGTAGATTTTGTTCATAAACCAAATCAACATTTGATTATTGAATCGAGGTACAATTTGACCGTTGGATTATTCATTTTATGAATGGATTATTGAATCAACAAACGAAATCATTTTTCCATTAATGAATTCATTAGTTTGTTAGCGACGGAAACGCTTGACCTGGTTTGACTGTAAGGGAAAAAAGACTTCTGTCACGGAGGAATGAATGCTGCTCGCGTCACATGTTAGGGCCTTAGGTAATGCCCTTCAATAATTTTTTCATCAATCAATATGTTTGCTGTTCTAGATATTGACGAATGCGGTGCTTCTACACCTGTGTGTGACATCAATGCCAACTGCTCCAATACTCGTGGATCGTATATCTGTACCTGCAGGGCAGGATATACAGGCGATGGAAAAACTTGCCAAGGTAGGATAAAAGCCGATTTTCTGTGATAACAACGAAGATGGCAGATTCCCAGGGACTTGTGACGACCAGTAAATTTCGGCAATCAGTCAAATCCAGTCCGTTTAATTACGGGCAGTGCATGACATCATGCCTCGGGTCATACTTTTGTTATTAGAAACTTTTTGGATAAATGTAAGTGTATAAAAATTCTTTAAACGTCTGCTCAAGAATTAAACGTTTGAAGTCCGTTATTCAACCGGGAAAAGTATTGCTGTAATTACTTAGTAGCCCACCTAGCCCAGTAGAAAAGGAAAAAGAAATTCATGAAACGACAGCCATGTCACGAAGGAATGCGCACTCCTTGCGTCACATGTTAGGGCCTGAATTAATGCCCTTCAATGATTTTTTCACCAATCAATATGTTTTTTGTTCTAGATATTGACGAATGCAGTGCTTCTTCTCTTGTATGTGACATCAATGCCAACTGCTCCAATACTCGTGGATCGTATATCTGTACCTGTAGGGCGGGATATACAGGCGATGGAAAAACGTGCCAAGGTAAGATAAAGGTCGATTTTCTGTGATAACAACGAAGATGGCAGATTCCCAGGGACTTGTGTGACGACCAGTAAAAATCGGTAATCCATCGAATCCAGTCCGTTTATATACGGGCAGTTCATGACATCATGCCTCGGGTTATACTTCGGTTATGAAACTCTTTTGGATAGCCTGAGAAAACAACCGATATTTGACGACGCTCCGTCGATAGATATAACAAAGAAGTTAGGGTACCACTGGTTTCCCCGCCAAATGACGTGTGAGGAACGAGCGCAGACATTCGATACTGATCACGCGTTCCTACCCAGATCTGGGTAGTACTTCTGATTGGTTGTGCAGCGTGGGAAATTTGATTCAACTAATCAGAAGCACTCCCCGGATCTCATGGGTAGAGACACGTCATATGTATGGAATTTCTGCGCTCGTTTCTCAGACGTCATTTGGCGGGGGAAACCGGTGGTAGCGTCTCCAAATGTAGTTTGTTTTCTCTGGCTACTTTTTGGGTAAATGTTAGTGTAAACAAATTCTTAAAAAGGCCGCGCAAGAATTAAAACATTTGAAGTCGTTTATTTAAGCGGAAAAAGGTAATGCTGTAAATTACTTAGTAGCCCGCGTAGCCCAGTAGAAAAAAAAATATGAAGAAGCACTAACCGGGAGATTTAAACTGAGAATAAGACACGGAGAAAAAAAGACAAATTTTAAGGGAAAAAAGACTTCTGTCACGGAGGAATAAGTGCTGCTCGCATCACATGTTAGGGCCTTAGGTAATGCCCTTCAATAATTTTTTCATCAATCAATATGTTTGCTGTTCTAGATATTGACGAATGCGGTGCTTCTACACCTGTGTGTGACATCAATGCCAGCTGCTCCAATACTCGTGGATCGTATATCTGTACCTGCAAGTCAGGATATGTAGGCGATGGAAAAACTTGCCAAGGTAGGATAAAGGTCAATCTACTGCAATATTAACGAAGATGGCAGATTCCCAGGGACTTGTGACGACCAGTAAAAATCGTCAATCCAGGGATCCAGTCCGTTTATATACGGGCAGTGCATGACATCATGCCTCGGGTTATACTTCTGTTATTAGGGACCTTAAGCAACGACGTTTTTGAGCGACGCACGTCAACCGGAAGTGAGGCCTTCTCCCTTTTTATATGCCTTGACGCCAACAAACTTGTATTGCTGAGTTTCTCTTCTCTTTTAAAGACGATTTACCCGAGAGTTTCAACCAAACCACTCCCCAATGATGCAAAAAGTCCACTTCCGGTTGACGTCCGTCGCTCAAAAACGCTGTTGCTTAAGCTCCCTATTAGCGGAGCTCCACGGGCGTGCGTGGGCGGAGCCCCATAGCTAAGTAAATCTACCCATCCCAGAAAATTTCTTTATCACGTGACCGTACACCGAACGAACAACTGTTCGTCCGCACCACAGGCATACCAATGTTTACTCTCTCAGTTTCTAGCTAGTTTGGGAGCCCAGGAGAAAACTGATTGCACATCAATGTTGTGATCAATTGACAGCTGTCAAAACAGGGTATCCGCTGACCAGTATCACATGAAAGTATCGCGGGCTCAGGTGTCGACCCATCGAGGTCGAGTTTTTTTTGAAGTTATCCGCTGACAGGTTACTTAGTTTTCAAATGATCGCAGGCTCAAGTTTGTTTTTTAAAAAATTATAAGAAATATGTCGTGTTTATGTCACTATGGCCCAGCACTATTAAGATTTTAATTTCAAACTTACCTCGAACACGAAAATTCAGCCAGTCTTTTCTTACCATGGTCACGCGTTGGTCACGCTCTACGTCCAGTTTTTATACTCTGATTGGTCAAAATATGACAGGTGAGTTCATGCGGAAAATTTATGCAGCCTCTTGAAACTTGTTTACTTTGACAGCTGAAGCTGAGAGAGTTTTGTGTTTTTTAATGCCTTTTTCCACTGGATGCACAAAATTAAATACAGCTGCTATCAAGAGTCTTCTCTTACTCATGGCTGGTTTGTTTATTGGGTTTTTGGTGAAGAAATGCGTCGCTTGTCAAAGTCGGAAATCCGATTTCGGATGGCAATTCGTTTTCGTTTTTCACCTTGCTTGATACGCAAGAGGAGTTTAAAAGTCTCAAGCGATTCCGGCCTTACTTGATAGCTTTCAGGAGCTGCATCTCGAATGGCAAGCCTGAATAATTATTGTATCTGATCTTTGTTTTTTTATATCTAACCTCATGAAGTCGAGCACAGTTTATGCGGCAAGTTAATTATGCACGTTTATGAGATTTGAGACAACGATCTGACCTAGTATCAGGTTTGATATAAGCTTACAGAACTTTAAAAAGCCTTTAGATATATTTTCTCACCGCAAATAGAAAGAAAACGTTCATTCACACACTCGACCGCTTGTCAAAAGTGTGAACCGGCTGGCCGTATAGGCGATTTTGGAAATTTTTTGAACGGTTTCGCTAAAAGCCAACGATTGATCGTGCTCAATAGTGACTGAGTGCAATTTGTCTTGAAAAACAGTGAAATACTGCATTCTGTCCGAGGTCTGTATGATAAATACAGCGCCTCATAGTACTGTTTCACCTTAGATGTGATGTATAAAAAGTATAAAAGGTTGGTTTACACACCTCCAGATTTGTTGGCAAGATTTTGTAAAGTAAACTTATCGAACGCAAAAGATTCGGCCTGATTTGTTTTTCAGGCCTAATCTACTGTGATCAAGAGCCCTTATGGCTCTTGAATGTTATCGAAGATGATTACTATTTTTTGGGTGGTTCATATAAGTCAAGTCCATGTGAGATGTTTCACTCTAAAATCACTTAGCTTTTCCCTCAAAAGCCACATGAATGTGCCCTTTAGTTAACTCATTTGTGGATTTCAAGTTTATTGTTTGATTTAAATATATATTTATTAATGGGCGCTTCGCTTTTTAGCCCTGGCTAAATCTATATATTATTTGTTATTCTGTTAGGACACTATCATCAGTCACACATTGTCTATTTCTTGCTGATAGCTGCACTCACATCAAGTCAGTTGGTAAGCCTGTGATTCACAACTCTAGGTCTTATACTCAAGGAGCATGGATGAAAGATCCACTAGGAATCATGGGTCCTGAGACCATATTCGTTATGGTGGGCTACGGCGGGAGAAACGTGCTTGAAGAGTTTGAAAACATGGATATGTTCAAAGCAGGCATCGCTCGTAAGAAGTACGTACTGCCTTATAACTGGGACGGAACAGGAGGAGTAGTGTATGGACCTTACCTTTACTACAACAGGTATAAAACGTTATATTTAAATAAAATGAATAATGATTTGGAGGTAGCACATCCACAAAGTGGTTCTTCGTCTACCTGCTTCCTGGTATAACTGGAATTTGGAAATGCTGGTTTTTGAGGGGAGGGGAAAACCGGAGTACCCGGAGAAAAACCTCTCGGAGAAAAGGAGAGAACCAACAACAAACTCAACCCACATATGGCGTCGACGCCGGGATTTGAACCCGGGGCACATTGGTGGGAGGCGAGCTCTCTCACCACTGCGCAATCCGTTGCTCCTCGTTATAATACTCTTTAAATCTGATACAGTATGGCCAACGAAAAAACAAGGGTTTAAAAGATAATCATCACTAAAAGGTCGCATATATGAAAAAAAATTAATCAAAGGTGTCGCTTCAGACCTGCGTGGACCATTTTTTTAAAACTTAATTCCAGGGCGCTGATAATAAAAATTTGGTGATATACCAGTTTACTGACGCAGTATCTCATAGTAAGGGAAATCAACATCATGAACTCGTCTCTTATCCTAGGGCTTCCTTAATTGCAACTCATGGCATGATGGCTACACATGCACAGCTATCAGGGACGGCGGAGCGTCTTTTGTATTGGGGGGGGGGGGGGTGGGGCGGGGGGCGCTAACAAGCAAGCGCCAGCGACGCTAGCTTGTAGAGGGTTCTGGGGGATTTCTCGGCCAGAAAAGTTTGAAATCTTGAAGCTAGGAAATGCTACTTTTAGCATTCTCGACGAGATATCAAAAAATAACTAAATAAATAAATAAACGTGGATACATATATAACTTACATATATCCCAGGCTTACGTATGTTCCGGCCTTAGTGCGTACACTAAATTGTTTCATTACAAACGCTCGACGTGTGTAGCAAGAGGGAGAATGTTCAAAATTAGTGTTGTAAAATCACTTTTGTTACATTAAGATAGTAATCTTGACAGCATATGACAAATTTCAAGTATAAAACAAATTGCAAATTTTTGACAAATCGGATTTTGACAAATACGATTTTCCTAACTCGTCCCTAGTCGTCTATCGTTTTTATTCACAAGCCGAGTAGTGAGAACACTAAATGAGAAGAACTGAGGTGAAAGGCTGATTGAAGTCAATTTCCTGGAACAATGCATGTACCGTAACAGCAAGGGAAAATAACAACTTCAGTTGTAAATTTGCCGACATTCCTCTCATAATTTTCGTTCAGAGATACAAATGAATTTGCCGCAGAAGCAAAACAAAGCTTATCAAATCTATCTTTATGTGCGTTCAAAATCGCGAGATGGTTGAGACGTGCTTACAACATTCTTGATCGAAGCCACTTCTTGATTCGTCTGGCTGTTGAGAAGAACCTCTCCCCTGTTGCACTTGTAGCAGGATTGACGTAAACCAACTTGCAAACAACAATGACGTGGTCCATCAACTGTCGCTCGATTGGGTGCAGATCTTGGACCTCCCTCAAAACGTCCTGAAAGAACCGTAAAGGGACTCGCCGCATGAGCACTTAAATCTTACTTAAATGTGTTGTCTCAATGTTTTGCTCATTTTGTTTTGTTTTTCCTTCTGTTTGTTTTCTTTTTTGTGTTTTATGGGTTTTTAAATTATTTGTCATTTTTTATTTATTTTTAAATTTTTATTATTTGCTTAAAATTGGGAGGGCTAAAGCCCCTCCAGCTCTACCGGCTCCGCCGTCCCTGGCTATATAAATCATGGTAGAAACATTCTCCACTGATACTAACAATTTGTTGTTATGGCAGAGAGGCTACGAACTATATCGTAAAGTACAATTTGCGTACTGAAGGTGTGGAAAAGCAGATAAGCTTGTCGGGTTCAGCGAGGGTCACCTCTTACCAGTGGGGTGGCTACAGTCAAGTTGATCTGGCGGTTGACGAACAAGGATTGTGGGCCTTATGGGGCTACAGTGGAAACAGCAACAAACTAAGAGCGCAAATGATAGATGTACACAAAGGATCCTTAACCCTCGCTTGGAACTTAAATTCAGGTACTCGGCTTACGCCTTATTAGAGCTCCTTAAGCTAAATACAAAATGTCATGAAATGTAAAGGGTTTCTGGAACTCGTTAGATTCACCATAAGTAAACTAAACCATTGCTATAACCTGTCAGTTAACAAACGGTCGTCATCATCCTTTCCTCAATAAAATGCGCATCCATTGTTTTTAAACTGAATATTATTTAATTTCGCAAACTTCGCAATTTCGTTACTTAGTTGAATGAGTTTTTATACTATAAGTGGGCATATACGTTTTTTTTTTTTTTAAATCTTACTCCGAGTTTCCATTTAATGTTATTTTGCAGAAGTTATGACCTCAATGGGAAATGCATTTGTGGCCTGTGGAGTGGTTTACTGTATCGACGACTATCGTTCAGAGTCCACGACCATCAACTTTGCTTACGACACCAAGACTGGAAATCAGTGTAACCCCAATATTCAGTTCACCAATCAGTTCGGCTACAACTCCATGGTGGCCTATAACCCCAGAGAAAGAGTGCTGTACGCCTGGGACAACCAGCGTTTGGTAACTTATCCTATCACTTTTAAGGAACGATAGGTTAATTCCTTGATCTGCAGCTGATGGGTTTGAAAAAATGCTGATAAGGGACGCTTTGCTATTATACTGTATAAAGACGATGAGAAAACGGGGAAGTTCACGGTAGAAAGCAAGTTTTACCATGACTTAAGAATCAAACAACAGCAATGCCAAATAAAGTAACTTCAATATTTGACCGGACACTCACACTTCAAAACCTAACAATTACACTATCCTGTTTCTTAATAATAAATACGTTCTGTCCACTTCCAAACACCAAACGGGCCAACATTGTATAGTGCAGTTGTTATCGAATATCAGCCACTCAAAATTCCAGAGGTGACCGGTCATGAAGAGGCCGATTTTCGTCCCTCTTCTTTTATCGGTAGTCTATTCGGTCTACGCGGGGTCTAAAGCTTACCGAGAAATGGGTCATGGGATCAAACGCGCTTATGGTGATCTACCCTCATTTTGTCATTAATTAATAAACTGCCGTTAGCGCTGAGATAAATAAAATTAAAGTGGTTAAAACAAACATCTTGTTTGATAGTTGTTGACTTTTCTGTTCGTAACGAGAATGCCTGACACAACAGGTGAAGTTCTCATGGGACATTCTGTGTTTACTGATTCTCTACGTGGTGTATTTAAAAACAACCCTCGAGATTGAATGACTTAAGGTTATTAAATGCCTTTACAAATATGGAGAGGGGAGGAGGGAGAGAGAGAGGAAAGAGAGAAAAGAAAAGAAAAAGAGAAGTTACAGCCCTGATTAGAAAGTTCCAGTTGATCAGTATATGGGAGTTCATGATGATTCCACTCCACACAACAACTGCACACGAAATCTGCTGTGGTAGTATAAGTAATCACCTGGCCCCAGTTGTTCAAACGTTGGATAGCGCTATCCACCGGATAAATCACTATCCAGCGGATAGCGTAATTGGTTTCCCTAATACTTATCCGCTGGATAGTGATTTATCCGGTGGATAGCGCTATCCAACGTTTGAACAACTGGGGCCTGGACTCAATCTTTGATTGCCTAATTTAACGACTTGTCCTCGGGATTTCCCACCTCTTTCGTAAGCTTTTCAGCCCCTACCGGTTGTTAGAAGGCCCAGGATTTAAAAGCCAAATATGACCTCTTGGACCAGCGAGCGAAGATCATTCTGAGCGTCATTTTTTAGAGGAGCGATTGTCTAAAACTGACTCATCCTCCTTTTTTTGAGGAATGTGAAACTTGGGAACTGGTCGACGGCTGCATGAATGTTAAAATCACTGCCTTTGGAGCTTTTCAGATGTATATATAGCACTTTTGAAGAGGAGTGAATGACGGATGGGGAGGGGGGGCGGGGTGTCACTCCACTGTTAAAGTCAAGGTGAAAGAAAATTAAAAGGAAGAAATCCCATTCTGAATTTTTGACTTTTCTACAAAGGATTAAATGATATAACGAGCAAAAATGGAAATGGAATGTTTGTGGCGGTTAATTCATTGTTATTTGAAATTATCTTTTCCTCATCCGGCCGAGTGGTCTCTAGAACTTCTGTTATTCATGGCTGGTTTGTTTATGGGGTTTTTGGTTTAGAAATGCGTCGCTTGTCAAAGTCGGAAATCCGATTTCGGATGGCAATTCTTTTTCGTTTTTCACCTTGCTTGATACGCAAGAGGAGTTTAAAAGTCTCAAGCGATTCCGGCCTTACTTGATAGCTTTCAGGAGCTGCATCTCGAATGGTAAGCCTGAATGATTATTGTATCTGATGTTTGTTTTTTTATATCTAACCTCATGAAGTCGAGCACAGTTTATGCGGCAAGTTAATTATGCAAGTTTGTAAGATTTGAGACAATGATCTGACCTAGTATCAGGTTTGATATAAGCTTACAGAACTTTAAAAAGCCTTTAGATATATTTTCTCACCGCAAATAGAAAGAAAACGTTCCGAAGAATACTTAGTTATAAATTTGCCTGTAGAAAGAGAACTTTGAGCGATTTTCTTGCCTCGAGTTCATCTTTGAAAAAAGCAAACACCGGGAAGCCAGCTTAAAACATAAACTTAAAGACTCAGGATTTTTAGAGATGCTTGTCTTCGTGAACGAAAATTGAGATGCTTGTCTTCGTGAATGAAAATTGCTGTCTCTTTAAATGTTTCACCGAATTATATTTCTTTTATTGATTGTTAGAAATCTCTTTTACAATTTTAAACGCTTTGCCGTTTGTTTTCGGTCCGTTTCATGAACATCGCTTGCAGGAGTACTCAAAATGTCGCGCGTATCAAACGCTTTTCAAGATTACACATCGTTATAAAGCCATCAAATAAATAAAAAAAAAATAACATAATAAATTCATTATTATGTTGAAGCGTAACTCTATTAACGTTCATTCACACACTCGACCGCTTGTCAAAAGTGTGAACCGGCTGGCCGTATAGGTGATTTTGGAAATTTTTTGAACGGTTTCGCTAAAAGCCAACGATTGATCGTCCTGAATATTGACTGCGTGCAATTGGTCTTGAAAAACAGTGAAATACTGCATTCTGTCTGAGGTCTGTATGATAAATACAGCGCCTCATAGTACTGTTTCACCTTAGATGTGATGTATAAAAAGTATAAAAGGTTGGTTTACACACCTCCAGATTTGTTGGCAAGATTTTGTAAAGTAAACTTATCGAACGCAAAAGATTCGGCCTGATTTGTTTTTCAGGCCTAATCTATTGTGATCAAGAGCCCTTATGGCTCTTGGATGTTATCGAAGATGATTACTATTTTTTGGGTGGCTCATATAAGTCAACTCCATGTGAGATGTTTCACTCTAAAATCACTTAGCTTTTCCTTCAAAAGCCACATGAATGTGCCCTTTAGTTAACTCATTTGTGGATTACAAGTTTATTGTTTGATTTAATTTATATATTTATTAATGGGAGCTTCGCTTTTTAGCCCTGGCTAAATCTATATATTAGAAACTTTTTGGGTAAATGTAAGTGTATACAAATTCTTTAAAAGGCCGCGCATAACAAGAATTTTTTGGTACAGGCTATATAGATAAACTCTACTTTGGAAGAATTATGAGAGATGTATAAAAAACGTTGGTGAGTTCAGGCGTGGACAACTCGATGGCGAAGAAGAAGAAAGCTATAAGACGTTTTTGTTCTTTGTTAAGGAAATTCAGACTGTTTTCAACGGGATCGAACAAGGTTGAATATTTTAATTATTAATTCATTATTGTTATTTTTATTATTTGATTTTATTTTGTTAGCAAGGAGCCTACGATAGATCCTTGTGGAACTCCAATATTTTTGTTTTTTTTAGACGTTGACGAGTGCAGTGCTTCTCCTCCTGTATGTGACATCAATGCCAACTGCTCCAATTAAATACTCGTGGATCGTATATCTGTACCTGCAAGGCAGGATACAACGGCGATGGAAAAACTTGCCAAGGTAGGAGAAAATAATTAGCTTATCTAAAGGTCAGTTACTTTACTGTTATAACATCAATTATGGAAGTTTCCTAAGCACGTGCGACATCATAGCATTGAAAATGGCGGCTAATGATATGACGTCATACCTCATGTTCTTCTTCTGCTGAAGCCTATAACACGGAGCGGGTAACTTCCATGTACTCTTGTCACGGCGTTTTCGCCAATGATTTTGGCGCGAATTTAGACTATCTTTTAGGTCCCCCAAACCAGTCAGCAAAACGAAAATGCCTGAAAATGGCATTTTTGACTTTTAAATAACTCTGTATCATGAGCCGCCACTTAAGATCATGCACTACCTCACTTCCGTCCAAAGTGCAAATGGCGTGCGTAAATTTAAATCATCTAGTTCATAATAAGAATTAGATTTGAATAAGGATCTAGGACATTACATTCATATTTATTTATGCATACATACACTATTCTACAATTTAATTTATGTCTACATTTTATTGCACATATAACGTACCTATTTTTTAAATATATAATTACTTCTTTTAAGAAGTAATTACTTGAAAGTACCTTCAGCAATTATTGAACGAGGCTGAGTAGGATAAAGAATTGTTAAGATCGAGGAGGATGTTGAGGTGAATAACATCCTCCAAAATCTACATAATTCTTTACATTATACGAAAGCCTCATTCATTCATTGTTTTATTTTTCTTTCAAAATATTTCTTAATTCTTATTTAACAATTTTACCTCATCGAAGACGTTCCTGAAATCTTTGGCCTATTTCTCGGCACAGTTTTTCGTTGCTGTGCTCCCCAAAAAGTAGATAACATCCATCGAGCGATTTGTTTTGCGTATTCTTGCAAGTCTTGCAATTCTTCCGTTCACGCACTTTTAGTTTAAAATTCAGCTATTCAGGATAGTCGTGAACGCCTTTTTTTTTTCAGAGTTCACTGGTGAATAATCAGCTAGGCGGCCGCGCCTGGGAACGAATTTCATCGATAACCATATTTAGAAGATGCGCGCAATATACCGTCTATTTTATAGAATATTGCTCGATCCTCCAAATATGGCAAACGCCAGTTGATTAGGGGATTTGAGCCAATCAGGAAAGGCGAAATATTTTGAATGCATGATTGTAATTAAGTTATTTTATTTAGTAAACGCGATTTCATTTTACAAGTTGTTCATTTATGTTCAGATGAGTGAAATAAGCTCTATACAAAGAAAACAAAATAGAAAACAATACTGTTCTGTGAAACTAATCAAATAAGTTCGTCAAGTCACGTTTTTTAATGTAAAAATCGAAAAATTTGTGGGTGGCAATCTTTCGCATTTCCGGTGTCTGGCTTATATGTTGGGTGGTGGAATTTAATTACAAGTGTCCGTTTAATACAGGTTGGCACCAATATAAATGACCGTTTCAGGTAATATATATATTTAGCCACAGCTAAAAGCGAAGCTACCATTGATAAATTTATAACTTAAATCAAACAATAATTTTGTATTCCACAAATCAGTTAACGTAAGGGCACATTCATGTGACTTTTGAGGGAAAAGCTAAGTGATTTTGGAGTGAAAAAAATTTTGTATCGAGTTGATGTAG